AATATGTGGCAGTTACAAGATTAAAAAAATTCAAATCTATCAAAACTTTAAAACTGAATGCGTCCATGAAAAAGGTATATCATAAAATGAAAGGAGTAATTTTGTCTAAATAATAAGTGAGAATATTATGGTAAAATGTTAAAATATAAATATAAGGGGTGTCATTTTTTCTAATTTTCTCTTCTTGATTAAGGCGTTTGACATCTCGAGCTAAAGCCATAAACTTATGTTTAGATCGACTACGGCCCACTAACAATAATTTAGTTGGGCCTGTAATGGGGGCGTTATGCTGTGCCCAATCTCAACTGAACTTTTTGAGCTTCAAAAAGAAATCCTTAGATAGTTATAATTTTTGAATAAATATGAATATTTCAATATTGTCACTTTCAAACAATATTAATAAATTTTATGATATTTCATAACTCTATTTTCGTTTCAAAAGTATAAGATCGACCTCAGACTAACAACAACACTTGTGCTAAAAGTATATGAATGAAATGAATGAACTATTATATAATAAACTATGTGGAATATTTTAATTTTGTTTTAAATATTATACTACTAAAATTATAGTGTGAGAAATAGTGTAATGTTTTTGAAAAAATAAAAATATCCTACGAGTTGAAAATGAATTTTAATTAATATTATGATAAAATCCCAAAAGTTCTTACCAATACAAATTTAGACAAATCATGTAACAGATTGTCTTGAGGTAGTGTAAGGGCTAATTGCAAATGATTCACATCACCCTTTTGCAAATGATTCACATCACCCTTCTGAAGGTATTTTCTCAAACATCTTGGCACTCCTGGATTCTTTAGACTGTGGACTTTGTCAGCGTATCAATCGACTTCATAATACGATTGCTCACTTCATTGCTAAATGGGCGTCGGGTCCAAAACCACAATAATGTGGTCAGATTGTAATCCAATCTTTTTTTTTTTTCCTAGGTTATGTAAGGACTTGATGGTATAATAGGGCTATAAGAAAAATCGCCTTATGGGCCGACCATTGACAACTTTAAAAGAGTGTGGCCCACCTAATATAAGGCCGGTGATAGTATACTACTTCTCGTGGACGGATCCTCTGCATCAGCCTATTCGTGCATCACTTCACGATACTCGCTATACGCCATTGTACGTTTTTAAGGTACAATGATAAAGAAGCACATTGCCTTCATGGAGAATTGGCTCAAGGGGACAATATTGAGTAATGATTTGAAGTTGGTTGTGTTGGGAATTCCAACCACACCGAAACTCCGCCCAAGATCCTCTGAAAATAAAAATCTGGAGAACACAAAATTTAACGTGGAAAACCCTCTGTTAACGAAGAGGGAAAAACCACCAGGGCAACAAGGCCGTAGAAAATCCACTATGTAAAAAATTACAATCACATAATTTTTCTACACTCAATTATACCCAAAATTACCCCACAGAATTTTCTATCCGTTAACCTTAACTCTCACCCTAAGGGATTTTTAACCAGAGATTAATTGTTAACACAATAACTCTGTAGGATGATTTTACATAAGAAGTAGCACTTTCTTATATAGGAGAAAAATCTCTCTCTCTTTCATTCCACAATCGATGTGGGACAAAGAGCAAAACCCAACAAACTCCACCTTGCGATTTTGGCCCATCTGACAGCCACTATTCACTTTGATGAAATTTTTCATAGCTTTCGCCATCATGCTCCACCATAAAAGCATATCCACTCGGACTCGCATCCAAGCATTTCTTCGGCCCATGTCGAAATAACCTTGCTGAAATCTATGGTGCAACTTCCACGTTTGGCTTTCCTGGAAGTTCATCAGCCCTCGACACGTTTTTTCCACCACACACCTTGCATCACCGCCAAACCAATGCCCGTGTGTAAACTGTGGACCCGCTAATTTTAACACGTCCTCTTTCATGACACTTAGCGACATGCCATAAGGACTCCCCTTTCTCTCTTAGCAAAACTCATCCATGGAGAGAGAGACAAAATTAGCTTCTTCGGTATCTCCACTTACCGACTTGGAGCCTTTTGCCGAACTTGCTCCTCCTTTCGGACAATTTCTTTTCACGTGCCCAGATTGTCCACACGTCCAGCAAATCACAACTTGCTTCTTCCTGGAGTTCCTCTTCTTTCCGTCACCGACGAGCATGACTTGACCTTCAGGTGAATTGTTTCTTCCACCATCTAGTCTTCTCTCTTCCGCAAGAAGTTTACCAGTGACTTCAGAAAATACAATTTTCTCCTT